AGTCATCAAACTAATGCAGCGCAGTTTCTTTCGTTCACGCAAGTTTGATCTAACATAAATCCCATCCTAAATATGATTTCTATAGTTTTTCTTTTCTCTTCACTTTAATATTCTATTCAGCTGGTGCCTAACGAAATGATTCCATACGATATGGATCTACCCGTGAAGTTTATTGTCTACTCCACTGTTGGATTCCTCGTCTCCGAAGGCTGCCCGGCTCTTTTTGCTCATCTCAAAATCTAGAGTCAATTAGGAACATATGTGTTCTACAGATCTATGTATCGGACTCAGTCAATCCTCATATACCTTCAATCTACTTAGAAATGAACTATAGTTAGGTTATCTCAAATCACTTAATTGCTCACATATCTCTCTTCTCCATTTGACATGTGCTTTAAGTGCAATATCGTAAGATCAGAGCTGTGATATAAGTGTCTGTAATTGTTTTTTGTCGTTGTAGAGTTCAGTTTATCGATTTTCAAATGCTTAATTTAAAGATGTCTGAGCAAAAGTCGCACGTGTCCATGTCGTTTCGAAGTCGTTAAAACGACTCGTATTTCACAGAAAACAGTTGCTCTTTTTCGAGGTATTTGAAACTTTCCCTACAACAGGTGAGGCGCTGTTACGTCTGCGTTCAAAGCCAACGTTTTTTCACACCTTTGAACGAAAGGAGCCATTAATTAGAAGATCAAGAGAAGAGCTACAAGTAAATGGCCTCCAGTAAACGGCCGCCTGAGGATGACTCGAAATTGCCAACCTATCGATTAGTTGTGATTGGAGATGGAGGAGTTGGCAAAAGTTCTCTTACCATTCAGTTCTTTCAGGTATGTTGAGACCTTTTTATCCCCTATAGTCTTCTTTTCTCCACCTTTTACTAGAAAAATGTTCCTCCCATCTCCCATGTTTTTGCTTTCTCTCTCTACTTTTTCTAAAGAAATGTTGATATGTTTAAAAGCTGTGGGAACGGTCAATGGTTTAGAGCCCATTCGTTCATTTTCATTTGATTTTTGTATTTTATAAAATCTATTGTTTTTCGATCGCAAAAGGTTTAGAAGAAAATGCT